CAAGCTTAAATTCCATAGTACTAATCATATTAGTGGCTTGAGTCAGTTGTGACGAATAAATTGTATCATACAAATGCGTTTGGAAATAAAGGACTGTTCGATAATTCAATACAGCTTTTAGAATAGCTGTTTACTGATAATTTCTTATGATGTTTAAAGAAAAACATGTGTCAAAACTTGAAGATCTCCTGAATGAATTTGAATGTGTATAGTTCTTATTTTTCCTGTGAATTACATATCCAACTACTCCTTATTTTCACAGATTGGTAAAAATAAAATTTTCACAATACTACTAAGATATGAAATATAGTGTATTATGATTTATGTAAAAAATCTGTAAAATGGTCAATATTAAGTGATAAACTAAGTACTGTTGAATGACTATCATATCGAAATCCTTATGTTAGAAAACATTTTAAGCCTCAAGGAAACTGAAGTCAATGTTAAAACTGTAGCATCAGTGGACTAAAATCGATATCACTAAGGTATTGAATAATATTTTGGTCTCAATTCGTATGGACATGGATTGATTTTGGCGATTTTTATTGCAGAAAAATTATTGTGAAAGTAATAGTTTTAAAGCAGAAAAATATTAAACAACTTAAAACTAGACGTTTCAATGATTGTAGAGAGTAGCGAGGTAACAAACCGATACAACATCGCTGCAAGCCGTTGGTAGAAGCGTCGATGCGTCAAGCATTGTAATGAACAAACCAAACAAATAGATTTGTAGTACAGAAATGACAATCAATCTTCCCCTAAATTCCGCATTAAAAATTGATAAATGTTTAGTGGGAAATTTTCTCCAATACATAGAAAGTACTCATCACCTGTAATACCTATGTTTTTCGACTATTATGCATTGAACAATAGCTTCAAGTATGTTCAAAACCACAAAGTTGCCGTGTTTGAAAGTTTTTGGTGATTGACAGTAAGTGACCCCTGAGCAGTGGTCTCAGGATTTAAGTACTATGAGCTACAGTCATATTGACATTATCTATAAAAAAATACACAAAACTCCAATCTAATTCGTTATTATATGGAGATAAGGTAGTCTTTACAAAAGGATAAAAAGTATGGTAAGAATTCAAAAATGTAAATCTGATAAAGGTAAAATAATCTTATAGTTCTTTGCAAGACTTGTTGGAATAAAATGTGGTAGCATAAAAGCCAAGATCTGTTTAACAAATTAGCCATCCTTTTCAAAGTAAGCCACTTAAAGTCAATTGGAGCGGTTCAAATTGTTTTGATTGGATCAAATCATGGTTAAATGAGCTGGGAATATTTTCTTCGCCACAGATTTCCCTGGAGGTCCTTACTCTTGCTTTCTACTTTATATCATTTTTGTATTTTAAGAACAAGGTTTAATATTTTTATTTTTGAAGTGTTGAGATTTGCTGTTAACTACTGTTAAGGTTGAGACGTAAACTAAAGTAATAAAAAATAAAACAATTGTATGAGTATACTTAAATACAGCCAAAGCGTACATATAAATTTGTAAAGAACAGTACTTTAAAGTTTTGGTGAAGTTGAAATGTTTTAAATGCTTTAAAACACCTACCTATATAACCCATATTTAAGGCACATGTAGGTTTTTTTGGAAGAAAGGACCATCTGGCCCTAGCTTTTAATGCCTAGATAAACAATTGTCATTAAATTCCAATTAGGTTTGAAAAACGTTACTGTCATCTAACAATGTATAGACGGAATTATTGCAAGACTGGCTTAAAACCAATGTATAAAAGGGGTCTAATGAATATAATTCACTAAAAAATGCTTTATTTTGGCTTAAGAACCTGAAGGGAAATTTGAAAGAAGAAAAGTAACGAGCAAGTCAATCAACCATGATTCTGTCGAGACATAACCATCACGGCAGTGAGAGTCAATTCAAGAAAGATTATCAGTTTACTGGGTAGTTGTTGTTTTTTAAGAAAAATATGACCTTCATAATATTATATAATATTTGAACGTATCGATGAATTTATTGCTAATATGGAATTGTAGCTGACTAAAGAATTTGATTAACGTAGCATACTTTAAATGAACACAACAAAGGTAATTTATTTATGTATACTTTATGGACTAAACATACTGACATTTTACCCGGCAAGTTTGTCTGTATCTTATTTGTGATATCTAAGATAGTTTCTTTCTAGAAGTGAGCCAGTCGGAAGCCAACTCAACGTTACAATGCGCTGTCTTTTCGGCTCGTGATCTGCATTACTAATAAGGCCAACTGTTCAACAAAACATTTACAACTCGAGCAGTTTGTTTCGTGCAAATGACGTTTTTGTCATTGTTATGCATAGGTTTTATCTAACTTTAATTAAAAATATCTCGAGACTTGGGTCATGCTCGGCAGACTTTGCTGCAAATGTTTTACTCCTACACTGACTTCATATAACTTTGTATTGTTCTTCAGCTTACTTTAAGTTTGTCAGATTTCGACATTCTATAATATTATATCAGACAAGCACGTTAGATATTGAGAAAGTTTTTATAATCTGAATCTGGGCACAAATTTGTTTAAGGGTGTCCTTAAAATACTAATTAGTTTACGAAAACTATTGGTTTTCAATGCTCACAAGTTACACTAACAATAAAAATATGTTATTTATAACATTATAACTCAAGACCTATTTATTTACTTCCTGAGATAGAAATTGCAATCTGTGTCATGCACATTTCCGTTTGGGGATTTAACACTTTCACGTAAGAAATAAGATAAAATATTCTTTCCATTCGTTTTCGTAATTCACTTCATGTTTGGTAGGAACCTTTTTCTCGTTCCTTTACTAAGAAACCCCCGCAAAATATTATTTTTATTTTCCCCCATTTGTGACAAAAAGATAATCAGGATGATACATTTCTGGAACTAAATAACGAATGTAAAAATGTCAAACATTAAATAATCAATACGAGTTTTTAATCTTATTTAGCATGCCTTAGTCAATAACGGCAAGCTTGGAAAGTCCATCATCGAAGCCACGAGTTTGATCGCATTATCAAGTTGTCAAGTGATGGACCAACTTGTAATTGGTTCAGTTCCCTTCAGATTGGCTCATGTTCATCGGGAAACAGCTAATCTAAATACAGCTGCAACTTGGTAAGGAAAACATGGGAGTTATGACCGTTTTGGTATTCTGGTTATAGGGACATTAGGTATTGCCCGTGTAGACTTCAGGGCAAAGGGAACACTCTGAATCACACATAATATATATGGTTTATGCTCTCAACTTCTTGCTCATACATTATTTAGAAACGAAGAAGACGTCATCACAGTTTTGAGTTGTATTCGGAATACAGCATCCAATGTTTGTGTTACAATTACAAAACATTGTGTTACAATGTTTGTGTTACAACTGATATGGGTAAGTATTGTGAAACCGTTAGCTCCAGTGATAAAGTAAAGGTTTTCAACTCTGTGATCACAGAGCGATGATGAGAGATGATGGGTTGGAAAGTTGTGGAGTCGTTTATACTATTTGAATGGTTAATTGGGAGCTTGAATATTTTAAATAAACCAATCTAATATGTTAGATATGTTAATGGACATTTCAATACAGTGATAACGTAAACTAAGGAAAACAGATACTTAAACTTAAGAAACTGTGATACTTAAACAGTTAATACGAAATACTCTATCTAATTGGTGTTAGTGATATTTCGTCTAAGAGATTAATTTCAATAATATCTGTGTGTGTCAAAATCTTTTGAAAATGCTCGTGGATTTTAGCTTTAATCTAATAATTTCTGAAATTATTTTACCGATATGCTTAACACCATTCGCATTTTGGATTTGATGATTATTAGTGGCCATTCAAAATCGATCACCACTCTTACCATCTTATGTGTTTACCGTCTAGTGAGGCAACAGTATACGTGTAAATATACATTTCAAGTGCTATTAGACGTATAGTGATTTAATTTCTGTAAAACACATTTGCTCTACAAAATGAATTAACCAACACCCACACAACAACTTATCCATGAACCGCTTAAGTTTACCAAATAAAACTAATTAGACATGTATAAGTTTGAGACGAGATTTAATCTCACTTTAGCAAGCTACCGTATTCGCGAGGTCTTTGCTCGATTGGGCGGAATCATAACTAGTTGATAGCGCAGTCTCAGCTTCAATTGCCGGTAATTTCCCAGGAGTTCGCGCTTGTTTCTCCTCTCCTTCATTTTTAAACGTCACTGCCGCTACAACGTTCTTACCTCATTGTTTTATACCTTCTACCGCATTAGATGCTGTTTTAGGTTGGGTTAGGTATATTAACTTGGCTGATATATTAGACATTGTGCTGTTGTGAGTATTTTATTTGGTAGGAATAGGTTTTTTTCAACTAATGATAGAAGTTTTGTTAATTAGTTTATGAATACCTAGTCGATGGCTGTTCTGTTATCAAACTATTCATGATACTGTTGTAAAACATTACCACAACTCTCTCTGACACAAATTATTATTACTTGTAGTTATCTATGTTAAAAACATAGACAACGAGGTCACGAAACGTAGACTATGTATTTTTATTTTATCTATAAAGGTCAACCATTTTCATTATCCATTATTTATGTGTCGATGCTATCTAACAGTAAGTGGATTCAAATAGTGCTAGCTTGATTTAAAAAAATTGAACCTTATGATTTTGCTTCCTGCTATACAATGTTTTAGGGTATATAATTAGAGGGTGATGTATATGATCATAAGGTAAGTATTTGTATATTGCAATCAGCTTATTATTAAGCTTGCTATTAATCAGTGGATCTTAACTATTCGATATGCGCATGAATATTGAACACGTAAACCTTTACTAAACGTAATCTACTATGTAAAAATGTCAAAGGAAATAAAAAATAGGACAAACTATAAAAATATTGAAAAAAGAAGGCATGATCGAACATTGACTAGCAGTATCTAAAGAGAAAAATAAGCTGGTAAAATTGAACATACATAAAAATACATATGAGAAAATGTGAAAAATACAAAAACTAACCAGTCATTTCCAGTTTTTGCGACGTTTTGTCTCTTTCTGCCGGTTTGGTGTGGTTTTGGTTCTGCAACCATGTTGACATCTGAAACAAAAAGTATCATTTTCTACATTGTTATGGTCAATTTGATCATAGAGTGCAAAACTAGTAGCATTATCAATTAAAATTCTTTGTTTAAATGGACAAAATATCTGTAAAAGTTTAATGTTCAAACTATTTAAGTACTAAAACTCATTTGTGTACGTCATAAGTTAACTATAATGATTTCAGCCTGCTGTTGAATCACAGCAACGGGTTGACCAAGACTCTGTGAACTACGCTGACAGCTTATACTGCTTGCTAATTAACGTTAAACTGTCTAATTAAAAACCTCTTCTGTGTGAACGCTCGGCAAGCACAGCGAGGCGGGCCTTAATTTGTTTAAAAGGGCAACAAGCTTTAATTTTAATTCTTAGAGCATAAATAAATTACTGAAGCTCAAAGATTATAGCTAACTGGCTTTTGTCCTTTTAACAAACACTAATCAGGGTTTGCAGTACTGATAAACAAATACTGTAGTATAAACCTCGATTCAGTACTATATTGTATAATATTATTAAATTTAGAAAGAACTGTAGGAAATAATTTATACTTAAACATACATTGTACTTTCAAAGGTTTTCTAAGCTGTAACGAAATTAATTTGAAAACTAGTCTCTAAAGAGAAATCATATTAATAAACAAAGATATTTAAATGCAAATGATTAACTCGAGCAACAGTTTACGTTTTAAAAGCAGTTTTATAGGTTTTACTACTTTTTTTAGCTGTAATTTATTATTTTTCTCAACTGACAGCTTAAACATTTTTAGTATAAATTACCTCAACATAGAAGCTGCTTAGTTCATGCGACATTTACCCACTTTCCCTTTGGCAAAAAACAGAAGTAACCACTCAATTTCTAACAATGTTTCACTTTAAAACTAGTTTATAAAAATAACCAATAGAATGCTTTGGTCATAATGTAAATACCACCAAACATGATTTAAATGTTAATATAAATGTGTATATATACATGTTTATGTGTTTACTAGTGGCTTAGGGACATAAGTCCCTAAACAGCTCAATAATGTAAAACAAATTATTCTAATATTCAAACAAACTAAGAAATATATCATCTATATGTCAGAATAGATATTTCTGTACGTCATATCTTTTGTGTAAAAAAACAGTTTGTTGTTTGTCTTTGTTTACCTTTGTTTATGTCATTTTCAATAAATCATTCGAATCACTACATAGGTTTAACTATGCTGAAGGCAGCAAACATATAATTGTTTGTGAATAGATACTGGTTTATTAAGGTAGCTTTGGTCTTAGTGATGAAACAGATTTCCCTGATTGGAATTTTGGAAATTCTCTTCGTCAAATATGAAAAGGCAAATAAAGGTGTGTTGAGGGAAGTTTATTTCTTGGCCAACCCCGCTAAATTAGCATCCCTACCCAGTTAATATTTTTAAGTTTATACTCCTTTTGTTAATGTTTAACAACATTAAGGTAAAGTAAAGGCATCCCATTGTCCAATCTTAACCCTAGTTTTTTTTTTCTGATCAACGTAAAAAACTATAATTAGTAAGTTTATGTGGTGGTATTCCTCTTAAAGGTGCGATTGACGTTACATATTCTATCAAATTAGGCCTAATCATCGGATGAATCTGAACTCTTTTGCGAGCAACAGACAGTACCTGTTTAAATCTACAAATAATATTGTTTTTCCTCCCGTTGGAACTTGTCATAGTACTTACTTAATTAACAAATATATATTTCCCGTACGAACCTATTCCATCTTTATTCCCAGGTTATTTTCTAAGAGTAACCGTTGAGGTTATTCCACTTCATACAAAATATTGAAACACTACAATTAATCTCAAATTTAAAATAAAGAAAAGTGTAGAATAAATCTAGAACATATGTTTTAAAATAAAAACAAAGCAAAAGTTTTCCATTTAATCTGGAATAGTTAATTATTTAGTCAATGTGGTTATTTCATGTTAAACGTAAAAAATACACACATTTGTAAAGTGTCACAGTAAACTAATTTATTTTCACATTCTATAACGTAACTAAAAAGTCTTAATTATTATAGGTAACGTTATCCCTGGTTTTATATAGTACATTGCAGAATTTACTGGCAAATAAGTAGGGCCTAATCCAAAATTTTAACATTGCGTACCGGTTTGGTGATAAATCAAAATCACGATCAGCTGTATTGAAGTAAACAAAAATCAGCAGTAAATGGCTTCTTATTCTATTCTTATGGAGAACATTTTACGTTGTATCTCGTTTTCTGGTAACTTTATGGGAATTCTGCTATTTTTCCCGAGTCCCTGGGGTCAAGACCTTTAATTTAAGACCCCTCCCACCTTTCTGCGACTTACCAGACGTCCACAATTTTCTGGTAAAAATTTGGTCTTACAGAATTATATATATAGATGTGTTGTGTGTGTACATTTATTTAAATGTATTATGAATGCTATATTGGGTTTAAAAAAATGCCAATGTTTTGATCCAAACTGTAAAACTATAAATTATGGTAATTTGGTTTACGGGCAAACGATTCTTGAACAAAAACCTTTTCACCTGAAGCATAAATTATTGATATTCATTTAAATAAATGTATAGCTTTAAAAATGATAAAATAATATATTTTTGAACAAATTTGTATTCCTTTGCAAAGCAAAAAACTACTCCATCAGTGTTTTAGCGTGAGTGGTGCAATGCATCTTTCCGCCCCTCGTGAGGAATTTAATTTTCCTTCAACGTAAGTACATTTCTTTGCGAGATAAGGCCCTCAGAGTTATGACCAACCTTAATCCCATCGATGTATACTTGGTAATCTGAGCACTTATGTATAGTAACATAGAGAACCTGTTCGGTTTAATATTAGTTCTATTTCATACTTAGATCCTTAACCAGTTTATTATACAGCCTAAATTTTAGATATGTCTCTTTAGTTTTTTGTTTAATAACATGCAAACTTAAACATTTTTGAGAACTGACAAACATAGGGATTATAATCAAACATTTGACAGAGTCTTGTTGTCAATGTGAAGGTGTTCGTTTTTAAGGATATACTCTAACGCTATTTTACCAATAGATAGATATAAGAACTTTCACATTCTAAAAGGAAGTTTATGGAAAGATTTAGAAGGTTTAATCAGAGAAATGCTGTTATAACACACTTCTTTGACATTTTATAAAATAATATTCAAGTACAATATCTAACAATTTTTTAGTTCAATATTTACACGTATGCCTTTGCTGAGAGTAAGGTTGGCTAGAACTTTTTTTAAATTTGTAAATAATTGTAAATACAACGTCACAAGTCAATGAAGCATTTTGTATTTTGTATGGTAAAGTAACATTAAATATTTCCCCATTTTGGATTACTGTACCTTAAATACATTAAAAATTACTGTTACAATCGAGTTGAACCAGAAATCAAACAAACTTACACACGACGACAATATACAATATCTATATTACTGCACTATAATATCCTAAGATGCTTAGGTCTCTAATGAAGTAAAGTCATTTATAAAAAATATCTTACTTATACATATATTTTATCTATAGTCTTTCACAATAGATACTGGCCGGTACTCATTACTAAAAATTATGCATAATATTTTTCAACTGAATATTGCGGCTGACTATGATAGTCATCTTAATGCTACATTATACACAGTAGTAGGGGTAGCTTAAGGAGCTGATCCACAGTCGTTAGGTGTTTATTCTTATGAGTCTATAATTTAAAACCAAAATACATCCTGACTTCAAAGATAAACACTTGGTAAGGTACTGTACACGTAGGGAGTTTTAAATCAGCGTTTTCTATCAAGGTTTAAATTAAAAGTCACACTGTGTTTACCAAGCTGAAAACATTCCGAAGAGGTTTTTAATTAGACGTTTTAACGTTAATTGGAAACAAGTAAAGGCACGCTTTACTTTGTTCAATCTTTGCCTTGTCTACGTAATCTTTCTCTTCTACAAATTCAATTTGTAGACTAACGTAACTAACTAAAGAAAGTCTAGTTTTAATAATAACAATTAAAGTATAGGTAATTAATGAAAAAAACTTATTTTGTAAGCCTTTGGCAGTTTTTATCAGTTAAGACTAAGTAATTTAGTTAAATTTGTTTATGTTTTCCAATATTTAAAGTATATTTACAGTATATTTCTGTATCTTTATATCAGAACCCAGCAGAGCAGTGCGTGATGTTCGTATCCACTATCAAGATCCCGTTGTAAGACATGTTTACTACAGTTTGTGTCACGACGCTTCGTATTTAGTGGCTTCTTGTATCTACCCTAGATCTCGTTGGGGTGCGATGGCAGTGCAGTCTTTAACTTTACTTTATATTTTTGTAAGAATTGTAAAGTTGTGGACTAGAACTTAAGCTAATAGCTTAGACTTGAATAACCCTTATTCATAATACGTTAAAACTGAAAATAAATCAAGTTTCGTATTACCTTACTTAGTTACTGAAATAAACGCGTGGTATTTTTTTTTTATTATAATTTTGATTTTTATAATAACCAAAATAGTTCTTTAATAGTATTTTGGATCACCACAGTACACCTTGTAATTGTACACCTATTAATACGTCTGTGAACAATCTGCCTTGTTTACCAATCATTTTATAACACTAAATGTCTTATATTTTTACTAAAAAAAAAAAATAATTAAAATCACACATTCTTTATAAAACAGCATGTTATGAACTAATAAAAACATAAATATAAATAGATGATACCTAAGAAAGATTCATTCGGTAGGCCCTGAAGAAGATGTCATTAAAGACAGATAGAATTGCATATAGACATTCGAGTCAGTATAAAATATAATAAATTGTCGACGTAAATAGAGCAGAGCCTAAACCATCTTTACACACATTTGAAAATCAAAAAAAAATATAAAATTGTATTAAAACAACTAAAAAATCAAGTTAACATATTTCAAGTTATTTTCTTAAGGCAGGTTACGCAATCCACAAATTAGAGATTGCCTAGAACATTATTTAAACAATTTGCTAAATTACTGAAATAT